TCCTGACTGTGCTGGCTTTGAACTGCAACCCTCAGATTTCAGCCTCCTGAGTAGCTAGAATCAGTAATTATTTGATTTTTTTTGGGGGGGGGTGGTTGTGGGGCTTGAACTCTGGGCTTGGGCACTGTCCCTGTGCTCTTCAGCTCAAGGCAAGTACTCTACCGGTTGAGCCACAACACCACTTCCGGTTTTCTGGAGGTTTATTGGAGATAAGAGTCTCACGGACTTTCCTGCCCGGGTTTGCTTTGAACCTCAGTCCTCAGATCTCAGCCTCCTGAGTAGCTAGGATTAGGGAGTGAGCCACTGGCATGGGCTAGTCATTGTTAAGTTAACATATTTCATTAAGCATAAGGTCCTCATATATTGTAGCAAACATGTTTCCTTCCTTTTCAAAAGCTGAATACTATTCCATTGTAGTTATGTAACATTTTGTTTATTCATGTATCCATTGGTGGACACTTGATTTGTTTCTATTTTTTGGCTATTATGTATATAATATTACCAGATAGTGTGAAATTATTAAGATGCTCTTAGGAACACATAAGAATTGCTGGGTTCCTGGCTTAAACCTAATACCTAGCTACTCAAGAGGCTGAGATCTGAGGGCCCTGGTTTGAAGCCAGCCTGGGCAGAAGTCTGTGAGACTCTTATCTCCCATCCAAATGGTGGAGTGAAGCCAAGAGAAGTGTGACTCCAAGTTCAATCCTTGGACACACACACACACACAGAACATATAGGTGGGCTCATGCCACACACACACACACACACACAGAGAGAGAGAGAGAGAGAGAGAGAGAACATAGAGGTGGGCTCATGCCTGCAATCCTAGCTACACCTGAGGCTGAGATCTGAGGATTGCAGTTCAAAGCCAGTCTAGGCAGGGAAGTCCGTGAGACTCTTATCTCCAATTAACCAGCAGAAAAATGGAAGTGATGCTGTGGCTCTAAGTGGTAGAATGCTAGCCTTGAGCAAAAAAAGCTCAGGGATAGGGCTGGGAAAATGGCTCAGTGGTAGAGTGCTTGCCTTGCATGCCTGAGGCCCTGGGTTCGATTCCTCAGCACCACATAAGCAAAAAGAAAAAAAGCCAGAAGTGGTGCTATGGCTCCAGTGGTAGAGCGCTAACCTTGAGCTGAAGAGCTGAGGGACAGAGCCCAGGCCCAGAGTTCAGGCCCCAGGACCAGAACCCCCCCCCCCAAAAAAAAGGTCAGGGATAGCATGCAGGCCTTAAGTTCAAGCCCCATGACCAAAAACAAAAAACAAGAACATATAAGAACAATATATAAACTTGGCGCTGGTGGCTGTTGGCTCACATCTGTAATCATAGCTACTCAGGAGGCTGAGATCTGAGGATCATGGTTGGAAGCCAGCCTGAGCAGAAAAGTCTAAGAGACTTTTTTTGGGGGGGTCTGTCATGAAGCTTGAACTCAGGGCTTGAGTGCAAGACTTTTTTTTTTAATCTCCAATTAACCAGCCCCAAACCACAAACAGAGGAGTGGCTCAAGTGGTAGAGAATTACAAGTTGGAGCCACCAGTGCCCAGCTGAAAACTTGTATAGTGTTAGGGCTGGGGAGGTGGCTCAGTAGAAGAGTGCTTGCCTTGCATGCATGAGGCCCTGAGTTCGATTCCTCAGCACCACATGAGCATAAAAGGCTGGAGGTAGTGCTATGGCTCAAGCTTTGAGCTGAAGAGCTGAGGGACAGCACCCAGGCTCAGAGTTCAGGGCCCTCGACTGGCAAAAATGAACAAACAAACAAAAAACTTGTATAGCCTGCAAAGCCTAAAATATTTTAGATCTTTAAAAAAGCTCACTTGCCCTTAGGTCTAAATGAAGATAACCTGGGAAGAGGAGAGAGAAAAGGGCTAAAGTCCAAATGTTCAGTCACCTGAATTCATTAGTCATGAACAGATATATGTAGGATCTCCAGCAAACAATGGAGAAAAGCAGCTTACTGAGCTTGTTTGATAGGCTGGTGCTGTCCCATTTGAATGATACCTCCAGACCTGCTTTTGCTGGTTAGTTTAGAGATGGAGTCTTAATGAACTATTCTGCCTGAGCTGGCTTCAAACCACAATCCTGGGCTCATCTTGAACTGTCCATCTTTGGATTTCAACCTCCATAGTAGCTAAAATTACAGGTGTGATCCAAAATCAGTTGAGCTCTTTGTGTGTATGTGTGCATAAGGTCTTGAATTCAATGCCTTCCACTGGTGGCTTTTTTTTTCTTTCTCATGGCTGATACTCTGCATCTTAAGCCATGCCTCCAGTTACAGCTTTAATTAATTAGAGGTAAGAGTTTCTTGGATTTGCCTGAACTGGCTTTGAACCTTGATCATTAGCTCTCATTCCCCTGAGATGCCTAATTACAGGTATCAACCATGAACACCCAGTGCACTCTTTTTTTTTGGGTCCGGTCGTGGGGCCTGAACTCGGCCTGGGCACTGTCCCTCAGCTCTTCAGTTCAAGGCTAGCGCTCTACCACCTGAGCCACAGTGCCACTTCCAGCCTTTTTTTCTTTTTGCTTATGTGTTGCTGAGGAATCGAACCCAGAGTCTCATGCATGCAAGACAAGCGCTGTACCACTGAGCCACCTTCCCAGCCCCACCCAGTGCACTCTTAATTTCTTCTTTCTATTCTCTCTGTCTCCGTCTCTGTCAGTTTTACGAATAGATTCTGCCATCCACATGGAGCTAGGAATGGAACCCAGGGCCTCAGAGCTACTATGTCACATGGTAGGCAAAGGCTCTACCAGAGCTTCATCCCTAAGCCTCTTTTATTTTTCAGATTTTTTTTTTAATTCTGGGGATGGAACCCAGGGCCTATCTCATGCTAGGCAAATATATTAATATCATATATAATAGTATGTATAATATTAATATATTTATTAATATATTAATATATATTAATAAATATATTAATATAATAATTGGAGATAAGAACCTCATGGAGCCGGGTGCTGGTGGCTCACGCCTGTAATCCTAGCTACTCAGGAAGCTAAGATCTGAGGATCGAGGTTCAAAGCCAGCCCGGGCAGGAAAGACCGTGAGACTCCAATAAACCACCAGAAAACCGGAAGTGGTGCTGTAGCTCAAGTGGTAGAGCGCTAGCCTTGAGCTGAAGAGCTGAGGGACAGCGCCCAGGCCCAGAGTTCAAGCCCCAGGACCAACAAAACAAAACAAAACAAAAAAGAACCTCATGGACTTTCCTGCCCAGGCTGGCTGTGAACCATGATCCTCAGATCTCAGCCTCCTGAGTAGCTAGGATTACAGGCGTGAACCACCGGTGCCTGGCACCGGGTTTGAGGACTGATCAAAGTGTGTGTGTGTTTGTGTGTGTGTGTGTGTGCTGGTCCTGGAGCTGGAACTCAGGACTTGAGCACCTTCTCGGAACTTTTGTGCTCAAAGCTAGAACAGCTCTACTTCTGGATTTTACAGTAGTTAATTAGAGATTAAAAGTCTCACAGACTTTTTTGCTTGAGCTGGCTTTGAACCGTGATCCTCAGATCTCACTCAGCTTCTTCAGTAGCTAGGATTTACAGGTGTGAGCCACTCAGGGCCAGGGCCAAAGCACTTTTTTTTTTTCTTTTTTTTTTTGGGTCCAGTCGTGGGGCCTGAACTCTGGGCCTGGGTGCTGTCCCTCAGCTCTTCAGCTCAAGGCTAGCACTCTACCACTTGAGCCACAGCGCCACTTCCGGCTTTTTTCATTTTTGCTTATGTAGTGCTGAGGAATCGAACCCAGGGCCTCATGCATGCAAGGCAAGCGCTCTACCACTGAGCCATCTTCCCAGTCCCCCAAAGCACTTTTTTATATGCACATTTCTTATAATACCTTGATCATAAAGCTCTTTCAAAGCTTTTGTATTTTGTCAAAAATCAGTTCTTTCCTCCAGGAAAGGAAACATAAGATTGTTTTTCAAATGAATAAGAGGTAGCCTGTCTAGACAGTTCCATGACAACCTAGAACCCTGTCTAGTCTGTATTACTTTGTTCCCAGCTAAATTATACCTTGTGGGACGGGCAGGATATTAAAAGAGGGTGCCTGACTATTTTCAGAATCCTTTCATGAAGAAAAATCCTAGTGACAAAAGCCATTTAGGACAAGGATAAGTTCCAGACGGTTCTAGACATCTTCCTACCTAAGCACAACGCCCCCACGCCTGCTGCCCTTCTACTGGACTTGTGGAGAGGCAGCACTTTTGCACACCTTGGGAGGCTGAAGTCCAGGTTCAGATAGCACCCAAAGACAGGTCAGGGGGTTGTGCCCAGCTTCACCTGTATGGCAGAATCAGAAGATCTAGCTGGCCCTTAGCTCCGCCCCCTCCTCGTAGCCCCGCCCCCTCCCAGCTCACTAGCGGGCAGCACAGGAAGGTGTGTGTGTGTGTGTGCGCGCGCGCGCGGGGACGTGAAGGCCCCGACATGCCCGCCCGCTCCCTCCCACCCCCATCCCCCCTTCCACCGTGGCCCACAGCCCTCAGGTCGCCCTCAAGCTCTTCCTCAGGCCGTCGGGGCCATGACAGCACACCCCCACCCCACCCCGTACGTCACCATCCCAGGATCCGCCAGAAGCACCTCAGGCCCGCAGGGCCCTCATCCCCCCCCCCGCCCCTCCCCACACTGCCTCCCAACCCCCGCCACCCCTCCCCGTGCTCGCGGGCGGCGTCACGTGACTGTCCCACACCCGCCCGGCTCCGGTCACATGGGCCGCACGGCCGCTGCGTCAGTCAGTTCTGGCTGCGGGAGTCGAGGCGTCGCCGTCACCGTCGCCGCCTGCGGACGGGGCGGGGATCTCAGTGTCCGGGTTTTTTTTTTTTTTTCTCCCTCCCGTCAGCCCGCCCTCCTCCTCCTCCTCCTCCTCACTCCCTCCCCTCTCCCCCCCCCTCCTCCCCTCCGCCACTTCAGTCAGCCGTCCGGGCTCGACCGTCATGGAGCGGGGCGGGACCTCCGCGTCCACCGAGTGAAGCGCGTCGCCGTCGCCCGGCGAGGCCTCCGGATCCGCCGCCGCCGCCCACAGCCCTTCGCCCTTGGCAGCCCGTCGCCGCCTCTCTGGGCGCCTCCCCCCCCCTACCCCTGTCTCCCCGAAAACGCGTCCGGTGAAGGTGGAGGCCGGGCGCCCGTCGCAAGCCGCCGCGGTCGGGAGATGGTTCGGGCCTAGCGGAGCCGGGACTGGAGGTGAGAGAGGGGCGGGTGGACGGACGGACGGACTTGATGGACTGACTGACGGACGGAGTGTGTGTGTGGGGGGGGGCCGGGGGGGGGGAAAAGGGGGGGAGGGACCCCAGGGGCGGGGGCTGTTCGATCCGGCTTCGAACCCCCCCCCCACACACATCCCTCGTTTGTGTGCGCGTTCCCTCCCACCCGTGGACATAAATAAATAAATAAAGACAACCTAACCCAATCCCGACGAACCTTCCAGGCGCCCATCTTTTTCCAACCGGTTTCTTCCTTTCCTCCTCCTCGCTCGTTTTCTCCTCCTCCTCCTCCCGCCCCACCCCAGGCTCTTGTCTCGGTGACACCTCATCGGCCGATTTTTGTCGTGCTTTTTTAATACACCTTCTTCACTGACAAAAGATTTAATTTTTTAAAAAAAATTATAAAGTGTTTTTTTTTCTTCTCCTAGTTAAAGAGAAAATAGGCCTCTGGGTTCTGGCTATCATGACCCCAAACTAGTTCTCGCTTTTCCTTCTCGCGATCCTGCGCACCTCCCCTCCCCGCCCCCCCCCCCCCCCTCCTTCCCCTTCCCCCCCCCCCCCCCCCCCCCCCCCCCCCCCCCCCCCCCCCCAACTACGCTGCAAAGAAAAAAAAGGGGAAAAAAAATTCCACCTTACACCAACGTTGGGGATCGACTGAAAATGAGACTTACGGGCGACGGAGCGGAGGAAATCCTGGAATTCCACCCCCTTCCAACTTAAGGGGTCGGCCTGTTACCTGCAGGTTCCCCCCTCCTCCCCCCCCCCATTGGGTGGTGTTTGGTTAGTGATGTCTAGGCCCAGCTGCCTGAGCTCCGGGTTAAGCTCGTAATTGACGTCAGGGCTTTGTTCCTTCCACTTTGCTGGTGGTTCCACTCTTTGAGGATGGATGGTGGGGTAAAGGAGTTTGAGGTGTCGCGGGATTGCCTCCTCATTCCCAAACGACGTCGTGGATAGGGTGTGGGAAGTACTGATTGGAAATGTTCAGGTATGGACTTGAAACTAAGTTAAGATTTAGGCTTCTAGGTTTTTGGGGCTTGGTTGTGTGTGTGTGTGTGTGTGTGTGTGTGTGTGTGTGTGTTACAATTTAAAATTGTCCCTTTTCTTGCCTGTTGGGAGATTATAAATTAAGGCCAGTCCTTTTCCAAGTTACCAGTGTTGTATGGACTTGAAACTAAGTTAAGATTTAGGCTTCTAGGTTTTTGGGGCTGTGTGTGTGCGTGCGTGTGTGTGCGTGTGTGTGTGTGTGTGTGGCTTGGTGTGTGTGTGTGTTACAATTTAAAATTGTCCCTTTTCTTGCCTGTTGGGTGTTGGGAGATTATAAATTAAGGCCAGTCCTTTTCCAATCTAAGCTATAAGTACATATGAATAGTCTTATGTAGCATTTCAAACATGTGCTGTTTTTTAGGGTTCAGACGGTAAAAACACTTGGAGCTTTGTTTCTGTATTGACTCTGAAAAGCTTTTTTTTAAAAAATAAAGTCTTTTATTTAACTGCCTTTCAACTTATCGAAATTGAAATATTTATGAGAACTCTCTTAATCTGGGTTTTCTTACGGCTTTTGTGGCTTCTGAGTCTGCTTGAAATCACTCTCAGTCATATGTGCATAAAAGAAGTGTTGGCAAGTGGCCACTTGGTTCTCAACAAAGCTGGCTTCAACTCTTTTAAGGTTTATTTTCCTTAATTATCATTGCATTTCAGTCTCTAGACATAAAAAAAAAGTGTGGTTGTTTTTAATTAACTTTCAGAATGAACTTACTAAACACCTGGAAGCAGTAAAAAAAAAATTAATTCCAGCAATGTCACTCAGTTTGTGTCATTTGCAGACTTATTTTTGTCAGCTCTGGTGAAACAGTAGACACACATTACACAAAATTTGGCTTCAAGTAAGAACAAGGTAGGGTGTCTCTGAGTGACCAAACATTTACTGTTTGCTTGAAAAAAAAAAATAGCTTAGCTGTGGTCTAAGCTCTGTAGTCCAAGCGTTGGCGTGTAAAGATGGCTCTACAGTGCTTTGGTGAAGCTGTGGAATTAAGAATTCCTAAAGATAGAATCTTTTCATTACAATTCACTTTCTACTCATCGCATTCTCACATACTCACACATTCTCTTTGTGCTCTGAAGTTATTGTATGCCTTTTGTAAGTTAATATAATAGTAATTTTCTCATAGGCCTTTTGTACTGTCTTTAGAGTATCATGTTTATTCTTCTTTATTCTCTGATGAACAGGATGATTTTTTTTTTTTTTTGGTCAGTCATGGGGCTTGAACTCTGGGCTTGGGTGCTGTCCCTGAGCTCTTCAGCTCAAAGCTAGTGCTCTACCATTTGAGCCATTTGAGCCAAAGTGCCACTTCCAGTTTTTCTAGTGGTTTATTGAAGATAAGAGTCTCATGGACTTTCTTGCCCGGGCTGGTTTTGAACTGTGATCCTCAGATCTCAGCCTCTTGAATAGTTAGGATTACAGGTGTGAGCCATCGGTGCCCAGCCACAGGTTGATTTTTGAGTGAGATCCTATTTTGAACTTGAAATTATTGTTGTATCAAATTATCCAATCTGATTTTACAAAAGAGGTAATCTAAAGAAAGCTGTATGAGCTAGTGATAAATAGGTTTTTGTTGTTTTTGTGCTGGTCACAGGACCTGGGAGCTGTCCCTGACATTTTTTGCTCTAAGCTAGTGCTCTGACACTTGAGCCACAGGCTCCACTTCCTGTTTTGTTTTGGTTTTTTGGCCATTAATTGGAGATAAGAATCTCATGGACTTTCCTATCCAGACTGGCTTTGAAAATGATTCTCAGATCTCAGCCTCCTGAATAGTTAGGATTACAGGCATAAGCCAACCAGCGCCCAGTGATAAGTATTTAAGGGGGGAAAATGAATATCAAATTCAGAAGGTGAAACAAGATGAAGCCTTCTAAAAGTTATATATCTTTCAGTTTTGAAGATGTAAAGGGGAAATGTATTGGTTTTACGTGTACCTGAAAGGAACAAAGAAAACAGGTATTTCTTCTTTTGTGGCCATCTACTGAATTAGAATGGAGTCCAAAATGTCCAAAGCCTACCCTTTTATTGTTGTATTTTTCATAAAATTGAAGAGGTGTTAAGTATTGAGGACATGGCTGAATATGAAAGTTCAGTGTGTATTATAAAAATAATTTATAGGGGCTGGGAAGGTGGCTCAGTGGTAGAGCACTTGCCTTGAACGCATGAGGCCCTGGGTTCAATTCCTCAGCACCACATAAGAAAAAAGCCGGAAGTGGCACTGTGGCTCAAGTGGTAGAGCACTAGCCTTGAGCTGAAGAGCTGAGGGACAGCACCCAGGCCCAGAGTTCAGGCCCCACGGCCGGACCCCCCAAAAAAAATTTTTATAAAAACGTTCCTATACAGTGAGAAAGGTTACCCAGCTCTCCCCAGTCCTTACTTTATCCATTCTCTTTTGCATTTCCTCTGATAAGTTGGGACACTTTTATTTGATTTCTGGGAGGGTGTTTGCCAGTCTTGGTTATTATGAAATAAAATTACTAAAGACTTCTTAAAGCTATTCTGTCCTGTTACCTTGCTGCTTTTTCCTTTGCTTAAGAAAAGCACCCCACTTGTTTTCAACTTGATAACCATTGTGGTTATATATAAAAGACAGCAATAGTAAACATTCTAGTTATTAACTTTTGACTAATCATTTTCATTCCTCTTTGTCTTCATGTTTGTTTTCAGTGGTATTGTATTTTGAGAATTTTAATGTTACTGGTATACAGAAAATATTCTAAAATTAATTTAAAAATATCCAAGAGTTTTTTTTTTTCCTTGCCAGTCCTGGGGCTTGAACTCAGGGCCTGGGCACTGTCCCTGAGCTTCTTTGTACTCAAAGCTAGTGCTCTACCACTTGAATCACAGCACCACTTCTGGCTTTTTCTGAGTAATTTATTGGAGATAAGAGTCTCATGGACTTTTTTGCTTGGGCTGGCATTGAACCACAGTCCTCAGATCTCCTGACTAGCTAGGGTTACAGGCATGAGACACCATTACCAGACTCCAAGAGCATTTTAATATTGGAACTATCTATTCTGTTTCTGAAGAAGGAAAGTCTTTTTTTTTTTTTTTCTTCCAGTTATGAGACCTGAACTCTTGGCCTGGGCGCTGTCTCTCAGCTCTTCAGCTCAAGGCTAGCGCTCTACCACTTGAGCTACAGCGCCACATCTGGCTTTTTTCTGCTTATGTGGTGCTGAGGAATTGAACCCAGGGCTTCATGCATGCAAGGCAAGTACTCTACACTGAGCCACCTTCCCAGCCCCAGAAAGTCTTATTTAATATATTTTCTGCTTCATTATACTTTATTTGAAAATCTGTAATCTGAGCAATCTTAGTGCAATGTTGGTATGTCTAATGAATTATAGTGACTTTTAGTTAGGGAGACACAGGTTAACAGGTTAACAGTGGGTGCTAGTTTAGTTATTTATTTATATTTGTATCTATGTGCTGGTGTTGGTTGGGTTTTTTGTTTTTTTGGTGTTTTGTTTGCTTCGTTTGCTTCATTTTTTTGCCAGTCCTGAGGCTTGAATTCTAGGCCTAGGCCCTGTCCCTGAGCTGCTTTTGCTTAAGGCTAGTGTTCTACCACATGAGCCACAGCTACACTTTTGGCTTTTTGCTGGTTACTTAGGGATAAGAGTTTCATGGACTTTCCTGCCTGGGCTGGGTTTTGAACCATGATCCTCAGATCTCAGTCTCCTGAGTAGCTAGGATTACTGGCATAGGGCCCTCTGATTTCTTGATATTTTTCCCTTTATTTTTATGACTCTGCCTTTTACCTGGCTTCTTTTCTACTGGCTATTGCATACAGCCAGTATAACCCCTTAATATGAATAGCTTTGAATCTTAGCCTGAGTACCCTTTGTATATTTTTCTGAGTTGACCACATCTGTTTATTTCGATTTCAGTAGCTACTGTGTTAGTCAGTTTTCTGTTGCTATAATAAAATGCCTGAGATAAAC